GGTGGACGAGGATTGTGAATAGAATTTGGAGGAGGAAATCACAGATCTGTATTTTTGTTGTCAATTATGGATAGAAATGTGAAAATGCATGAATTATTTTCAGATGAAATTACCATGAAAAGGTGAATGGAATAGGACAGGTCTCACTTGATCTTCCTGAATCATAGCAGGCAGATCTCTTCCCACCCAGGTTTGGCCCTAATAAGCTGTGTGACCCTTTCTTCCTCCTTGGTTGGGTGTACCCTTTAACCCTTTCACTGCTGGAGCTGTTTTTTTTGGGTTTTTTGCACACATTTTGAAAAAAAATTTTAGGTCTGAAGATTGCACTAACTCTCAAAGCATTATACACTGCTCAAAAAAATTAAAGGAACACTTTTTAATCAGAGGATAGCATCAGGTCAATGAAACTCCTGGGATATTGATCTGGTCAGTTAAGTAGCAGAGGGGGTTGTTAATCAGTTTCAGCTGCTTTGGTGTTAATGAAATTAACAGGTGCACTAGATGGGCAACAATGAGACAACCCCCAAAACAGGAATGGTTGTACAGGTGAAGGCCGCTGACATTTTTTTTCCTACTCCTCTTTTCTGACTATTGATCACTAGTTTTTAGTTAGGGTCAGTGTCACCACTGCTAGCATGAGGTGATACCTGGACCCTACAGCGGTTGCAAGGCAGTCCAACTTCTCACATCAATACGCGCCATTTCCGGAAGGTTTACTGTGTCTCCCAGCACAGTCTCAAGAGCACTGAGGAGATTCCAGGAGACAGGCAGTTACTCTAGGAGAGCTGGACAGGGCCGTAGAAGGTCCTTAACCCATCAGCAGGACCGGTATCTGCTCCTTTGTGCAAGGAGGAACACTGCCAGAGCCCTACAAAATTACCTCCAGCAGGCCACTGGTGTGAATGTCTCTGTTCAAACAATCAGAAACAGACTTCATGAGGGTGGCCTGAGGGCCCGACAGCCTCTAGTCACTAGAGTCTAGTGGGCCCTGTGCTCACTGCCCGCCACCACAGAGTTTGTTTGGCATTTGCCATTGAACACCAGAATTGGCAGGTCCACCACTGGCGCCCTGTGCTTTTCACAGATGAGAGCAGGTTCACCCTGATCACATGTAACAGATGTGAAAGGGTCTTGAGAAGCCGTAGAGAAACGCTATGCTGCCTGTAACATCGTTCAGCATGACCGTTTTGGTGGTGGGTCAGTGATGGTCTGGGGAGGCATATCCATGGAGGGACGCACAGACCTCTACAGGCTAGACAATGGCACCCCGACGGCCATTAGGTATCAGGATGAAATCCTTGGACCCATTTTCAGGGAGTCCTGGGTTCCTCCTGGTACATGACAATGCCCGGCCTCATGCGGCAAGAGTATGCAGGCAGTTCCTGAAGGATGAAGGAATTGATGCCATTGAATGGCCCCCACGCTCGCCCCGACCTAATCCAATAGAACACTTCTGGGATATCATGTTTCGGCCCATCTGATGCCGTCAGGTTGCACCTCAGACTGTCCAGGAGCTCAGTGATGCCCTGGTCCAGATCTGGGAGGAAATACCCCAAGACACCATCTGTCGTCTCATTAGGAGCATGCCCTGAGGTTGTCAACATGCATACGAGCATGTGGGGGCCATACAAATTACTGAGTACTATTTGTGAGTTGCTGCATCAATTTTTCACTTTGATTTTTGGGGTGTATTTGAATTCAGGCCTCTGTAGGTTGATAATTTTCATTTCCATCAAACGATGGGGCATGCTCACGTTCCTAACACATTAGCCAGTTCATATCCTTCTAGATATCCAGCGTGATATTTTTTCCCCATTGAGATCTGATGTGTTTTCAAAGTGTTCCTTTAATTTTGTTTAGCAGTGTATATTTTTCTGCAAGCAGACACCCTACAGAATAAAATAGTGGTAGTTCCAATTTTGTATATCACAAAATATTACTGCAAAGGTTTAGGAAATGCAAAATTTCAGTTAAAAATACACTTAAGTTAATTTTTGGGGCATACAAGTGCAATAAATGACCCAAATTTTTTGATAAAAAATTAAAGATGAGGTTGCACCATGTAAAGAAATACCCAGCTTGTCAAACCTTATATTTACATGCGCCCATGAAATGACGGCAAACTTCAAAACCCTGTATTTTCCATAAGCGATGCTTTAAAAGCCCCCTATGGGTCAGTAGTTTAACATTACAGCGGAGGTTTGGTGGGTTGGGTGGGGTGGCAGCTGTTACTTGGAGGGGGGTAGGGGGTGTGCATGTAATCTGCAGAGCTGCCAAACTGCTTGCATCTGACAACCAGAAGTCAGCTTGTCAGATTTACGATGTATGGACCTGGCAGCGAAAGGGTTAAAGCTGGCAGTAGATGGGTAGGCTTTCAAATTGTCAGCTCTAATGAGCAGGGCTCTCCGAATTCTCCCGTTTTAATTTGTATTGTAATTGTACTGTCTGCCCTTATGTTGTAAAGCACTGCGAAAACTGTTGGCACTATATAAATCCTGTAGAATAATAATAAATGAAAATTCTTATGAAAAGAAGGTTCTAAAAAAGTTCTATCGTTCTCCTAATTCTTAGTGGGGTCAAATCGATGTTTGTTTTCGACCATAGTGACAAGAAAATTCGAAAGAACCAGATGGAAAATGTTCTCGAACTAATGAATTTCTAACAGCGTATGTGGAATTTGTTTGGAAAAGTCCATTCATTCCAAAATCAAATATTAAAAGCAAACAAAATCTTTAGAACTACATTTGAATGTTCTGGAATTTTCGCACAAGTTTCCAAAGACATTTCCTAACAATTTTCATTTAAAATTGTCCATCTATGGCCAACTTAAGAGTTGGTGACAGTTTAAATCCCTGACCCATTTATACTCCATTTCCTCTCTACCCATTGCTCCGCCAGAGCCACCATAAAAGTTTTGGTGCTTCCATGTATGGAGAAGCATGTAACCACCTCCGTAATGCAGTACGAGAAGGATGACAAGCCTTCAGCCCCATGTAAGCTCTGCCATGGATAGGACAGCAGAGGAATGGAGAAGATCCAATGTAAATGGTTTGGGGGTAAGACTGCTGGAACTTGGTTTATTAAAGTGGTTGTAAACCTCAGACATGAAATATGAACAAAGCATATCCCTCTATAGTATGTACTTGTCTCAGTTAAGAGCACTAAGTGTCATTTCTGTTTGCTGCCTCTTTCCTCTGCTATCAGTATGAGTCACTTCTGAAAAGTTTTCCTGACACCCGAGAAAAATGGTGACAGAGATGGCTAGCAGATTGACAGCCTCAGCTCTGTTCCTGTGAGATGTGTGAAGGGGAGGTATATGTTTTCCCTCCAGTCCAGTCAGAGCTCTCCTCACTGAGCTCTGCAGTGGTTAATTCTAGCTATCCTCCCCCTTTTTCTGTCAGCTCAGACAAGCTTTAAAAATTCTGGAGTCTGGATGTAGAGGAGAGGTCGCTATAGATAAACGGGTACAACACGTTGGAGGATTTGTTTCATATCTGTGTATCACCTGAGGCCAATCACTTCACAGGGTGTATGTAAGGGTTTACAACCACTTTAACTGGGCTTACCGCATGTTGTTGTAGCAGTGTCAGAATGGGTAGAGTAGTACCCAGCAGCACTCAAACAGGAGTGCGGACTTGATTAAAAGACTGAACTCTGTTGGACCCTAACCAAAATGGAAAAACTTCTTAACCCCATCATAAAAGTGAATGCCCATACATCTGAGCGCTTCTACTGTGCTGCTTGTGTGCAGTAAATGGGCCATAAAGATGAATGGAAAGGACTGATGGTTCAGGTGCTGTATAGTCCGGGTGATGCATCTCAAATTTTGAATGCTTGTTTACTTTTGGTGAGAAATGAGGGCTCCTTTGAAATTGTAAACTGCAATCCCAGGTCTCCGCCACCTTGTTACTAATTGTACCATTTTTTTTTTTTTTTTTTTCATCTATAGTCTGCCAGAAACCATGTCACATTACACAGACGAACCCAGATTCACCATAGAGCAGATAGACCTGCTGCAACGTCTGCGACGCACTGGAATGACCAAACATGAAATCCTCCACGCACTGGAGACGTTGGACCGCCTTGACCAGGAACACAGTGACAAATTCGGAAGGAGGTCCAGCTATGGGAGCAGCACTTATAACAGCACCAACAATGTCCCCGCTTCTTCTTCCACAGCCACTGCTTCAACACAGACCCTCCATTGTGGCATGTCGCCATCGCCCAGCAATAGCTGCGACACCTCCCGCAACCTTGCACTACCAACCAGAACGGGAGAGAAAGCAGTGAGAGGATCCCGACTTCCAATGGGAAGCTGTCCCCAACGCGTTATCATGCCAACAGCATTGGACCAAGGTCGTATAGCTTTGAAGCATCGGAGGAGGATCTTGATGTTGATGACAAGGTGGAAGAGTTAATGAGGTCAGTAAAATGGATCGATCTAAATTTAAAAAAAAGAAGAAAAAAAAAAAACATTCCACATATATCCAGAGATCAGTTTAAAATTATTTTGAAAATGAACTATATTATGTGTAATTTTTTTTATATACTAACAGGGTGCCCATTCTAGAACAAGAAAGGTTGGGGATATAATAATGCTAAGATGTGTCTTAGTGGTCAGTATTCATTGGAAAATAATGTAAATGGTATGACAGCTAACAGTGTGTGTAGGAAAAGAGTGCACTGGGTATAACAGTGGGCAGTATGTGCAGGAATGGAGTGTGAGGAGTATAACAGTGGGCAGTATGTACAGGAGAGGAGTATAACAGAGGGCAGTATGTGCAGGAAAGGAGTGTGAGGAGTATAACAGAGGGCAGTATGTACAGGAGAGGAGTATAACAGAGGGCAGTATGTACAGGAGAGGAGTATAACAGAGGGCAGTATGTACAGGAGAGGAGTATAACAGAGGGCAGTATGTACAGGAAAGGAGTGTGAGGAGTATAACAGAGGGCAGTATGTACAGGAGAGGAGTGTGAGGAGTAGTATGTACCGGAAAAGAATGCAGTGTATAACAGTGGGCAGTATGTGCAGAAAAGGAGTGCAGAGGGTATAAGAGATGGCAGTATGTGCTGGAATGGATAGCAGGGGATATAACCGAGGGAAATATGTGCTGTAAGGACTGTGGGGGTTATAACAGAGGGCAGTACGTGCTGGAAAGGAGTGCACTGTGTATAACAGAAGGCAGTATGTAATGGAAAGGACTGCAGATGGTATGATGGAGGCAGTATGTATAGTAAAGGAGTGTGGAGGGTATGACAGTGAGCCGTATGTACAAGAGAGGTGTGTGGAGGGTATGACATTAAGCAGTATGTACAGGAGAGGAGTGTGGAGGGTATGACATTGAGCAGTATGTACAGGAGAGGAGTGTGGAGGGTATGACAGTGAGCCGTATGTACAAGAGAGGTGTGAGGAGGGTATGACATTAAGCAGTATGTACAAGAGAGGTGTGTGGAGGGTATGACATTGAGCAGTATGTACAGGAGAGGTGTGTGGAGGGTATGACAGTGAGCCGTATGTACAAGAGAGGTGTGAGGAGGGTATGACATTAAGCAGTATGTACAAGAGAGGTGTGTGGAGGGTATGACATTGAGCAGTATGTACAGGAGAGGTGTGTGGGAGGGTATGACAGTGAGCCGTATGTACAGGAGAGGAGTGTGGAGGGTATGACATTGAGCAGTATGTACAGGAGAGGAGTGTGGAGGGTATGACAGTGGGCAGTATGTACAGGAGAGGTGTGTGGAGGGTATGACAGTGGGCAGTATGTACAGGAGAGGTGTGTGAGAGGGTATGACAGTGGGCAGTATGTACAGGAGAGGCGGTGTGGAGGGTATGACAGTGGGCAGTATGTACAGGAGAGGAGTGTGGAGGGGTATGACAGTGGGCAGTATGTACCGGAGAGGTGTGTGGAGGTATGACAGTGGGCAGTATGTACAGGAGAGGAGTGTGGAAGGTATGACATTGAGCAGTATGTACAGGAGAGGAGTATAACAGAGGGCAGTATGTACAGGAGAGGAGTATAACAGAGGCAGTATGTACAGGAAAGGAGTGTGAGGAGTATAACAGAGGGCAGTATGTACAGGAGAGGAGTGTGAGGAGTAGTATGTACAGGAAAAGAATGCAGTGTATAACAGTGGGCAGTATGTGCAGAAAAGGAGTGCAGAGGGTATAAGAGATGGCAGTATGTGCTGGAATGGATAGCAGGGGATATAACCGAGGGAAATATGTGCTGGTAAGGACTGCAGGGGTTATAACAGAGGGCAGTACGTGCTGGAAAGGAGTGCACTGTGTATAACAGAAGGCAGTATGTAATGGAAAGGACTGCAGATGGTATGATGGAGGCAGTATGTATAGTAAAGGAGTGTGGAGGGTATGACAGTGAGCCGTATGTACAAGAGAGGTGTGTGGAGGGTATGACATTAAGCAGTATGTACAAGAGAGGTGTGTGGAGGGTATGACATTGAGCAGTATGTACAGGAGAGGAGTGTGCAGGGTATGACATTGAGCAGTATGTACAGGAGAGGTGTGTGGAGGGTATGACAGTGAGCCGTATGTACAAGAGAGGTGTGTGTGGAGGGTATGACATTAAGCAGTATGTACAAGAGAGGTGTGTGGAGGGTATGACATTGAGCAGTATGTACAGGAGAGGTGTGTGGAGGGTATGACAGTGAGCCGTATGTACAGGAGAGGAGTGTGGAGGGTATGACATTGAGCAGTATGTACAGGAGAGGAGTGTGGAGGGTATGACAGTGGGCAGTATGTACAGGAGAGGTGTGTGGAGGGTATGACAGTGGGCAGTATGTACAGGAGAGGTGTGTGGAGGGTATGACAGTGGGCAGTATGTACAGGAGAGGCGTGTGGAGGGTATGACAGTGGGCAGTATGTACAGGAGAGGAGTGTGGAAGGTATGACATTGAGCAGTATGTACAGGAGAGGAGTATAACAGAGGGCAGTATGTACAGGAGAAGTAAACAGAGGGCAGTATGTGTGGAGAGGAGTATAACAGAGGGCAGTATGTACAGGAAAGGAGTGTGAGGAGTATAACAGAGGGCAGTATGTACAGGAGAGGAGTGTGAGGAGTGCATGTACAGGAAAAGAATGCAGTGTATAACATTGGCAGTATGTGCAGAAAAGGAGTGCAGAGGGTATAAGAGATGGCAGTATGTGCTGGAATGGATAGCAGGGGATATAACCGAGGGAAATATGTGCTGGTAAGGACTGCAGGGGTTATAACAGAGGGCAGTACGTGCTGGAAAGGAGTGCACTGTGTATAACAGAAGGCAGATATGTAATGGAAAGGACTGCAGATGGTATGATGGAGGCAGTATGTATAGTAAAGGAGTGTGGAGGGTATGACAGTGAGCCGTATGTACAAGAGAGGTGTGTGGAGGGTATGACATTAAGCCGTATGTACAAGAGAGGTGTGTGGAGGGTATGACATTGAGCAGTATGTACAGGAGAGGAGTGTGGAGGGTATGACATTGAGCAGTATGTACAGGAGAGGTGTGTGGAGGGTATGACAGTGAGCCGTATGTACAAGAGAGGTGTGTGGAGGGTATGACATTAAGCAGTATGTACAAGAGAGGTGTGTGGAGGGTATGACATTGAGCAGTATGTACAGGAGAGGTGTGTTGTGGAGGGTATGACAGTGAGCCGTATGTACAGGAGAGGAGTGTGGAGGGTATGACAGTGGGCAGTATGTACAGGAGAGGTGTGTGGAGGGTATGACGGTGAGCCGTATGTACAAGAGAGGTGTGTGTGGAGGGTATGAAATTGAGCAGTATGTACAGGAGAGGAGTGTGGAGGGTATGACAGTGGGCAGTATGTACAGGAGAGGAGTGTGGAGGGTATGACAGTGAGCCGTATGTACAAGAGAGGTGTGTGGAGGGTATGACATTAAGCAGTATGTACAAGAGAGGTGTGTGGAGGGTATGACATTGAGCAGTATGTACAGGAGAGGTGTGTGGAGGGTATGACAGTGAGCCGTATGTACAGGAGAGGAGTGTGGAGGGTATGACATTGAGCAGTATGTACAGGAGAGGAGTGTGGAGGGTATGACAGTGGGCAGTATGTACAGGAGAGGAGTGTGGAGAGTATGACAGTGGGCAGTATGTACAGGAGAGGAGTGTGGAGGGTATGACAGTGGGCAGTATGTACAAGAGAGGTGTGTGGAGGGTATGACATTGAGCCGTATGTACAGGAGAGGAGTGTGCAGGGTATGACAGTGGGCAGTATGTACAGGAGAGGAGTGTGGAGGGTATGACGGTGAGCCGTATGTGCAAGAGAGGTGTGTGGAGGGTATGAAATTGAGCAGTATGTACAGGAGAGGAGTGTGGAGGGTATGACAGTGGGCAGTATGTGCAAGAGAGGTGTGTGGAGGGTATGACATTGAGCAATATGTACAGGAGAGGTGTGTGGAGGGTATGACATTAAGCAGTATGTACAGGAGAGGTGTGTGGAGGGTATGACAGTGAGCCGTATGTACAGGAGAGGAGTGTGGAGGGGTATGACAGTGAGCCGTATGTACAAGAGAGGTGTGTGGAGGGTATGACATTAAGCAGTATGTACAAGAGAGGTGTGTGGAGGGTATGACATTGAGCAGTATGTACAGGAGAGGTGTGTGTGGAGGGTAATGACAGTGAGCCTTATGTACAAGAGAGGTGTGTGGAGGGTATGACATTAAGCAGTATGTACAAGAGAGGTGTGTGGAGGGTATGACATTGAGCAGTATGTACAGGAGAGGTGTGTGGAGGGTATGACAGTGAGCCTTATGTACAGGAGAGGAGTGTGTGGAGGGTATGACAGTGGGCAGTATGTACAGGAGAGGTGTGTGGAGGGTATGACGGTGAGCCGTATGTACAGGAGAGGTGTGTGGAGGGTATGACGGTGAGCCGTATGTACAAGAGAGGTGTGTGGAGGGTATGAAATTGAGCAGTATGTACAGGAGAGGAGTGTGTGGAGGGTATGACAGTGAGCCGTATGTACAAGAGAGGTGTGTGGAGGGTATGACATTAAGCAGTATGTACAAGAGAGTGTGTGGAGGGTATGACATTTAGCCGTATGTACAGGAGAGGAGTGTGGAGGGTATGACGGTGGGCAGTATGTACAGGAGAGGAGTGTGGAGGGTATGACGGTGAGCCGTATGTACAAGAGAAGTGTGTGGAGGGTATGAAATTGAGCAGTATGTACAGGAGAGGAGTGTGGAGGGTATGACAGTGGGCAGTATGTACAGGAGAGGAGTGTGGAGGGTATGACAGTGAGCCGTATGTACAAGAGAGGTGTGTGTGAGGGTATGACATTAAGCAGTATGTACAAGAGAGGTGTGTGGAGGGTATGACATTGAGCAGTATGTACAGGAGAGGTGTGTGGAGGGTATGACAGTGAGCCGTATGTACAGGAGAGGAGTGTGGAGGGTATGACATTGAGCAGTATGTACAGGAGAGGCGTGTGGAGGGTATGACAGTGGGCAGTATGTACAGGAGAGGTGTGTGGAGGGTATGACAGTGAGCCGTATGTACAGGAGAGGAGTGTGGAGGGTATGACAGTGGGCAGTATGTACAGGAGAGGAGTGTGGAGGGTATGACATTGAGCAGTATGTACAGGAGAGGTGTGTGGAGGGTATGACATTGAGCAGTATGTACAGGAGAGGTGTGTGGAGGGTATGACAGTGAGCCGTATGTACAGGAGAGGAGTGTGGAGGGTATGACAGTGAGCCGTATGTACAAGAGAGGTGTGTGGAGGGTATGACATTAAGCAGTATGTACAAGAGAGGTGTGTGGAGGGTATGACATTGAGCAGTATGTACAGGAGAGGTGTGTGGAGGGTATGACAGTGAGCCGTATGTACAGGAGAGGAGTGTGGAGGGTATGACAGTGGGCAGTATGTACAGGAGAGGGTGTGTGGAGGGTATGACGGTGAGCCGTATGTACAAGAGAGGTGTGTGGAGGGTATGAAATTGAGCAGTATGTACAGGAGAGGAGTGTGGAGGGTATGACAGTGGGCAGTATGTACAGGAGAGGAGTGTGGAGGGTATGACAGTGGGCAGTATGTACAGGAGAGGAGTGTGGAGGGTATGACAGTGAGCCGTATGTACAAGAGAGGTGTGTGGGAGGGTATGACATTAAGCAGTATGTACAAGAGAGGTGTGTGGAGGGTATGACATTGAGCCGTATGTACAGGAGAGGAGTGTGGAGGGTATGACGGTGGGCAGTATGTACAGGAGAGGAGTGTGGAGGGTATGACGGTGAGCCGTATGTACAAGAGAGGTGTGTGGAGGGTATGAAAATTGAGCAGTATGTACAGGAGAGGAGTGTGGAGGGTATGACAGTGGGCAGTATGTACAGGAGAGGAGTGTGGAGGGTATGACAGTGAGCCGTATGTACAAGAGAGGTGTGTGGAGGGTATGACATTAAGCAGTATGTACAAGAGAGGTGTGTGGAGGGTATGACATTGAGCAGTATGTACAGGAGAGGTGTGTGGAGGGTATGACAGTGAGCCGTATGTACAGGAGAGGAGTGTGGAGGGTATGACATTGAGCAGTATGTACAGGAGAGGAGTGTGGAGAGTATGACAGTGGGCAGTATGTACAGAGAGGAGTGTGGAGGGTATGACAGTGGGCAGTATGTACAAGAGAGGTGTGTGGAGGGTATGACATTGAGCCGTATGTACAGGAGAGGAGTGTGGAGGGTATGACAGTGGGCAGTATGTACAGGAGAGGAGTGTGGAGGGTATGACGGTGGAGCCGTATGTACAAGAGAGGTGTGTGGAGGGTATGAAATTGAGCAGTATGTACAGAGAGGAGTGTGGAGGGTATGACAGTGGGCAGTATGTACAGGAGAGGAGTGTGGAGGGTATGACAGTGAGCCGTATGTACAAGAGAGGTGTGTGGAGGGTATGACATTAAGCAGTATGTACAAGAGAGGTGTGTGGAGGGTATGACATTGAGCAGTATGTACAGGAGAGGTGTGTGGAGAGTATGACAGTGAGCCGTATGTACAGGAGAGGAGTGTGGAGGGTATGACATTGAGCAGTATGTACAGGAGAGGAGTGTGGAGGGTATGACAGTGGGCAGTATGTACAGGAGAGGAGTGTGGAGGGTTTATGACAGTGGGCAGTATGTACAGGAGAGGAGTGTGGAGGGTATGACAGTGGGCAGTATGTACAGGAGAGGAGTGTGGAGGGTATGACAGTGGGCAGTATGTACAGGAGAGGAGTGTGGAGGGTATGACAGTGGGCAGTATGTACCGGAGAGGTGTGTGGAGGGTATGACAGTGGGCAGTATGTACAGGAGAGGAGTGTGGAAGGTATGACATTGAGCAGTATGTACAGGAGAGGAGTGTGGAGGGTATATGACAGTGGGCAGTATGTACAGGAGAGGTGTGTGGAGGGTATGACAGTGGGCAGTATGTACAGGAGAGGCGTGTGGAGGGTATGACAGTGGGCAGTATGTACAGGAGAGGAGTGTGGAGGGGTATGACAGTGGGCAGTATGTACCGGAGAGGTGTGTGGAGGGTATGACAGTGGGCAGTATGTACAGGAGAGGAGTGTGGAAGGTATGACATTGAGCAGTATGTACAGGAGAGGAGTGTGGAGGGTATGACAGTGGGCAGTATGTACAGGAGAGGTGTGTGGAGGGTATGACAGTGGGCAGTATGTACAGGAGAGGCGTGTGGAGGGTATGACAGTGGGCAGTATGTACAGGAGAGGAGTGTGGAGGGTATGACAGTGGGCAGTATGTACCGGGAGAGGTGTGTGGAGGGTATGACAGTGGGCAGTATGTACAGGAGAGGAGTGTGGAAGGTATGACATTGAGCAGTATGTACAGGAGAGGAGTGTGGAGGGGTATGACAGTGGGCAGTATGTACAGGAGAGGTGTGAGTGGAGGGTATGACAGTGGGCAGTATGTACAGGAGAGGAGTAGTGTGGAGAGTATGACATTGTAGCAGTATGTACAGGAGAGGAGTGTGGAGGGTATGACAGTGGGCAGTATGTACAGGAGAGGTGTGTGGAGGGTATGACAGTGGGCAGTATGTACAGGAGAGGCGTGTGGAGGGTAGGACAGTGGGCAGTATGTTACAGGAGAGGAGTGTGGAGAGTATGCAGTATGTACAGGAGAGGAGTGTGGAGGGTATGACAGTGGGCAGTATGTACAGGAGAGGAGTGTGGAGGGTATGACAGTGAGCCGTATGTACAAGAGAGGTGTGTGGAGGGTATGACATTAAGCAGTATGTACAAGAGAGGTGTGTGGAGGGTATGACATTGAGCAGTATGTACAGGAGAGGTGTGTGGAGAGTATGACAGTGAGCCGTATGTACAGGAGAGGAGTGTGGAGGGTATGACATTGAGCAGTATGTACAGGAGAGGAGTGTGGAGGGTATGACAGTGGGCAGTATGTACAGGAGAGGTGTGTGGAGGGTATGACAGTGGGCAGTATGTACAGGAGAGGAGTGTGGAGAGTATGACAGTGGGCAGTATGTACAGGAGAGGAGTGTGGAGGGTATGACAGTGGGCAGTATGTACAAGAGAGGTGTGTGGAGGGTATGATATGACAGTGGGCAGTATGTACAGGAGAGGAGTGTGGAGAGTATGACAGTGGGCAGTATGTACAGGAGAGGAGTGTGGAGGGTATGACAGTGGGCAGTATGTACAGGAGAGGAGTGTGGAGGGTATGACAGTGGGCAGTATGTACAGGAGAGGTGTGTGGAGGGTATGACAGTGGGCAGTATGTACAGGAGAGGCGTGTGGAGGGTAGGACAGTGGGCAGTATGTACAGGAGAGGAGTGTGGAGAGTATGCAGTATGTACAGGAGAGGAGTGTGGAGGGTATGACAGTGGGCAGTATGTACAGGAGAGGTGTGTGGAGGGTATGACAGTGGGCAGTATGTACAGGAGAGGCGGTGTGGAGGGTATGACAGTGGGCAGTATGTACAGGAGAGGAGTGTGGAGGGTATGACAGTGGGCAGTATGTACAGGAGAGGTGTGTGGAGGGTATGACAGTGGGCAGTATGTACAGGAGAGGCGTGTGGAGGGTAGGACAGTGGGCAGTATGTACAGGAGAGGAGTGTGGAGAGTATGCAGTATGTACAGGAGAGGAGTGTGGAGGGTATGACAGTGGGCAGTATGTACAGGAGAGGTGTGTGGAGGTATGGCAGTGGGCAGTATGTACAGGAGAGGCGTGTGGAGGGTATGACAGTGGGCAGTATGTACAGGAGAGGAGTGTGGAGGGTATGACAGTGGGCAGTATGTACCGGAGAGGTGTGTGGAGGGTATGACAGTGGGCAGTATGTACAGGAGAGGAGTGTAGAAGGTATGACATTGAGCAGTATGTACAGGAGAGGAGTGTGGAGGGTATGACAGTGGGCAGTATGTACAGGAGAGGTGTGTGGAGGGTATGACAGTGGGGCAGTATGTACAGGAGAGGAGTGTGGAGAGTATGACAGTATGCAGTATGTACAGGAGAGGAGTGTGGAGGGTATGACAGTGGGGCAGTATGTACAGGAGAGGTGTGTGGAGGGTATGACAGTGGGCAGTATGTACAGGAGAGGCGTGTGGAGGGTAGGACAGTGGGCAGTATGTACAGGAGAGGAGTGTGGAGAGTATGCAGTATGTACAGGAGAGGAGTGTGGAGGGTATGACAGTGGGCAGTATGTACAGGAGAGGTGTGTGGAGGGTATGGCAGTGGGCAGTATGTACAGGAGAGGCGTGTGGAGGGTATGACAGTGGGCAGTATGTACAGGAGAGGAGTGTGGAGGGTATGACAGTGGGCAGTATGTACCGGAGAGGTGTGTGGAGGGTATGACAGTGGGCAGTATGTACAGGAGAGGAGTGTAGAAGGTATGACATTGAGCAGTATGTACAGGAGAGGAGTGTGGAGGGTATGACAGTGGGCAGTATGTACAGGAGAGGTGTGTGGAGGGTATGACAGTGGGCAGTATGTACAGGAGAGGAGTGTGGAGAGTATGACAGTATGCAGTATGTACAGGAGAGGAGTGTGGAGGGGTATGACAGTGGGCAGTATGTACAGGAGAGGTGTGTGGAGGGTATGACAGTGGGCAGTATGTACAGGAGAGGCGTGTGGAGGGTAGGACAGTGGGCAGTATGTACAGGAGAGGAGTGTGGAGAGTATGCAGTATGTACAGGAGAGGAGTGTGGAGGGTATGACAGTGGGCAGTATGTACAGGAGAGGAGTGTGGTCGGTAAGGACAGTGGGCAGTATAGAAGAGAGAAAGTAATAGAGTATAATGTTCCAAAAAAATCTTGAGGAGATGATGGAAAATCATGTAAGGGTGAAAATTGTTATTTTTATGACAACTCTTTTATATATAGGAATTGCATTCATTGCATCTCCATGATGGGAAGTGAATGTAAATTTCCCCATGGGAACACAGGAAAAAAAACCAACTTGATAGGGGTTGTAAACTTTCCATATTAAAAATCTCTACCTTTTCTTGGCTGTATGCACGCCTTAACCACTTCAGCTACAGAAGGTTTTACCCCCTTAATGACCAGGCAATTTTTTTCTTTTCAGTACTGCAATACTTTGACCATTGAGCAGCCATGCAACCTGTACCCAGATGAAATTTATATCCGTTTTTTTCACACAAATAGAACTTTCTTGTGGTGGTATTTGATCATCTCTGGGATTTTTATTATGTAAATTGAAAAAGACCAAAAAGTTTGAAACAAAATCTTTTCTACTTTCTGTTTTAAAACATATCCAAAAACCTGGTTTCTACTATGGCCTGCTGTTAGAAGTAGAATTACAGTCTGGGGATAGAAAATGATGACCCAATAGGATTCCAGAAAGGATGTTAGTAGTAAAGTCCGTATTATACATTATATTATTACCTATTACTGTGTTCTACACATATGATACTCATGATTTGTAGCATGTGGCTATATTGGATGAAAATGGAATGCTTTTATTTGTTGCTTTTCCATTGATGATCTAATAGTGGGCCACCTCTTGTCCTTGTCTGAGATTGCTGTAGGTCAGTGGTAGGCAACCTTTCAGAAGTTGAGATCTACCTGGATAACATGGAGGAATTAAAAGATCCCTGGGGGAGCGACACCCTTTAAGTAAAAAGAAAACTGTAAAGCTCCAGTAGTAGTTGTAGTAGTAGTGTCCTCGGCCCCCTTCACATCACACTAGGCCCCCGCACCCCTGTAGTGTCCTCTGCCCCTCTGTCCTCCCCCAAAAAAAAAGAAATGTCAACTGCCCCATTTTACATCACCCCCCCTCCCCACCACTATAATATCCTCTGCCCCCTTCACATCAACCCCCTCTGTCCCCCCTCCATAGCATTGTGCTCTGCCCTTTCATAGCACACACTCCCCCCAAATAGCAGTGTCCTCTACCCTCTGTTCACATCGACACTCCCACCCATCCATCCATCCCCCCCGAAAACACTGTAATCCCCTCTGCTCTGCCCCCCCCCCCCCCCCCCCCCCCCCCAAGCAGTGTTCTTTGCACCCTTCACAGCACACTCTCACCCGTCCCCCATAAAAGCAGTGTGTCCTTCCCCCACCAACTGTAGTGTTCTCTGCACTCTTCACATCACCCCTGCCCCCCAAAACTTTGGTGTCCTCAACCCTTTAAAAAAAAAGATGGCATGAAGAACCTGATGGTTCCTGTTGGAGAGATTTCCCATCACTCACAAGAAGTGAAAAGAACTTTCCCCTGTTAGGTCCACAGATGCCTGCAAAACATAACAGACAGTGCCAGGACAAGGTCATTGTGCCCAGCGCAAACTTCCAAACTGTGCCCTCCCCCCAAGATGTATGAGCATTATCCACTCCTACCCCAAAACATTGAGCATTAATCTGCATGCTTACTTACTAAGCACAAATCCCCCTTCTTCCCAGTACAAATCCTCCCCTTGCTGAAATCCCCCTCCCAACACAAATCTTTGCCCACCCCATTCCCCTCCTGTAAAGTCAGCAATTTGTAGGGTTTGCTTACCCCCCTCCTACCCACATTCTTTGCTGTGTGCAATGGGGGCAGGTAAGCAATCCCTGCAGAGTCCCAAACTTACAGCTCTGATCCAGGGGAACTGCAGTAGCAGGAGGGAAGAGCTAGAGGAGAGGGAGAGCACAGCCCACACCTCCTCCCTTCTCTCTTCTCCGCGCCAGATTTAGCTTTTGTCTTCAAGCGCTATTCTGGCAGAAGTAGTGATGCGGTTGTCACTACTTCTTTCAGGAACTCTCCATACAGTGCCCCCCCACCTCACTTGATACCACAGCGCCCAGGGTAGCCACCCCCTCCCACTACCACCACTTTGTCCCGGGCCTGCTAACAGAGGGTCTAACTTTTCTCTGCTTTATTCACAGCACTTTGGCTAGAGGAGGTGGACTCATTTACACTGCCAATATAAAAAGAAAAGGGACCGCGCAGCAAAATTTCTCCCCATAAATATAGTAAGCAGTTGAACGCTTAGATTCATGCAAACCCAGTGTTCCATAATACGTCCATAAACAATGAATACATAATAAAATGTCCCGTAACAGTGATTCTTCACAGGATCTTGCACCAATACTCATAAAAGTGCCCATGACACCCAACAACACTCCTTCTGTTAGATGCACCACGTGTCTCCACACAGGCAAACAAATGCGCTCACCGTTCTAAAGACCTCCACATTATAAGAGGTCTTATGTGCACCAGATGTACAAAACCTTTCCATTAATCCAGGGGTTCTCACCACAGCAGCAAGATGTCTCCCTCCTTAGGTCAATAATGCTCTCTTCCTCCTCTATCAGAAATAAAAAAATAAAACACACTCCTAGTGCTCTCTGTATAATGCTTTATTTGAATATACAGCAATATTGTACTCAAATGGAAAAAGGGGGATATAGCTTTGAGACAGGATCATGTTGGGGTACATCCTCCACACTGACTCACACAGTGACTTCTGGGTATTGGAATTGTGTCATGTGCCTGTCTCCAGCTTACGCGTTACACCACAAGGCATGGCATCATCAGAGGTTCTCAGCCCCATAACACTCCCCGGAAGCCAGGCATCACCCTCTGAAGAGTAATCGGGAGTGGGTCACTTTTCAGAGGGTGGTAAGCGTTATTTCACCTCATTGTCGTCTGTTGTACCCCCTACAAACTCAAAGCACCATGCCACAGCCACATGTATTGTACAGAGGTGCGGTGCGGCCCCCTTAATTTATTTGGGGTGTGGTCGGCAGGCAGTGTTGGCCACCAAATACAACAGAGGGCTACATTTTTTGCCATCTGTACACCCCTATTTGTAATTTAAGGGGAAGCAGATGGGGGTGATAAGAATGCAGCTCAACGGTGTCTTTTGTATAAGTATTAACATCAGAGATTGTCAATCCAGGAATTATATGGTTGCCTTGAGAGATCAGGAATTATTTTTTTTTTGCTGGTGGAGCAAATGGACCATGATTTGTTTTTTGTTTTTTTTGTTTTTTTTTTTGCCATGAGTATAGGGCTCTGTCTATAGAAGTTTTCTATTTAGTTCTTTCTTTTTTTTTTTTT